ATGCCGTGCGTTCCATTGCAGTATGACCTGGGTTGCAACTTAATGACCAAGGACAAATGTGGGTCCAGAGGTTACACATGTTGAGAACCACTGCTTTAGACCTTTGACAGTCATGTGACTGCAACTTCAACAGAAATGTAAAGGCATTTTGAGGGCATAGAGAAGTTCAAACTTGCAGAATGACCATATTATAATCTGGAGTTCTGACTTAAATAAAAGAATGCATCCCCAACATCTTTTTACATGTGAGTGTTCCTTGCTCATCCTTGCAAATGTGCGTTCAAATGTAAATGATGAAGATGCTATCCTTGCTGTAACTCCAAATTCAGAAAACCCTATGAAAATGACACTGTCAACTTAAAACGAAACTTGAAACCACGGAAACACTTTGGACCATTGCAATCCCCCTTAATTTAAAAAAGATTACCTTTTTGTTTATTTACCATTTTTTCCATACTTTACCTCACTTCCTGCCTCATCGACACATACCCTGAAGCCTCTTTGCATATCCATGTCACATATGCCGGAAGGCATCAGCTGCTACACAGTGGCTCTAGGAAAAGGAAACTGGCAGCTATAGTAGGGCGGACCTGGCAGTCGGGGACTAGCTGCAAGAACCAAGAAGGGACAGCCGGCTCCCAATGATGAAAGTAAAGAAGATGGAGTCACGGTGAGCAGTAGTGGAGTGGCAGATTACAGCAGGACAAAGTTGGATTTGCTGGGCATGTGGGAGGGTTATAAACCCTGTCAGCTTTTCTGCTCTCTGTGTTTCATTGGGGTTATTTCCCTTAACTCTCTGTCCAATAGCCACAACAGGAAGTGAAAGAGAAATCACTCCAAAGTGAGGAAAATCAGGAGGGTCATCACAACTAGTGTGCCCATTGTACAATTTCTCATATATTCCCGTTCTGGTGATTTTCTCCTTAAGTGTTAAGTGGTCACCAGGACAAATAGGGACGGTGAATCTCCATAATGGAAACACAGATAGCAATACAAACCTGACAGGGGTTCTCATAACTTTATACTCTGTTCATAACTATGAAAAAAAAACCTCTGGCTTCAGCAAAGTGAATTTCCAATAGCTTAGCGATAAATAAGGAGAAGCTGAAATCCTGTTTTTTGAAACTTCCCTTGCATATGAATGGGTATTGAAAGCGAATATAGCTTTTCCCTATCCACTAAGGTGAAGTTAACAGTCCGACAATGTTATCAGAAAACAGACAGAAATCTGAATTGCTGGAACTCTTGATGGATCCTGTAGAGCTCCCAAAGGACACCAAAAGAAAGGAAAATCCTGCAAGACTATATTCACAAACTTGCTTGCTTTATATACTGTATACTGTATGTAACAGGGTAAACAGTGGTTATGGTGTAACTTTTGTTGTTTAATTTGTATACATTCTAGTGATGTATATTGTATATAAAATGAATTAACTGATTATATAAGGATGCTTATATTTTTTTTGTAAAGTTGTAACATAAAATATTATGTGATGGGTAGGAAAACAAAAAGATCATTAGAGGGCAGTGAAATGTTGCTTAGATTTCATATGACTACAGTATGCTTGGGAACAGAAATTTCAGCTTTTGCTCTGACCTAGTTAAAAGACATTTTTGTCTATTACCCGTGAGTATACGCAATTAAGCGAGCGCAGAGATTCTAATCCCACATGTTCAGCTGCATTCCCACATACTTCCTAAGCTCAAGCTCAAATTGAGTGCGTAATCGACAATGTTTCAGATGTTTGTGCTGAGCTAAACACACAGAAGGCTGCCAATATATCTATTTAGAAAAATGTGCTATCATGTGAATGAACCCATGTTGTTTCCTAAGATCTTGTCATATGAACAAAAAGTTTTTTAAATGGTTAGGTGACCATTTTTAGTATGAATAGTAAATTGTAAATGTATTTTATTAGAATTAAAGTTTAGTGTTTAAGTAAAGTCTACAGTCTTCTGTCTGTCTCATTTTTATCATGTGCCCAGTTCAGTTCCAGTAGTAGAACAAAGTTTTATGTCTGGGCAGCATGCTGCAGAGAGGACCAATACGCAAAGCTTAGGCTCCTTGCTGATTGCAGGGTCATTGTCCTGACTCAAAGAGGGGGTGGTGGGGGGAAACGCTGAGCCACTGCAGAGAGACCCCTGTTCACACACAGCCCTTCTCTTCAGCATGCTGCTCGAGTTTACAATGTTCTGCTACTACTGGAGCTGAACTAGATGCATAATAAATGTAAGACGTTCAGAACACAGTTTGTCTGCACACTTTACCTAACTATATACCAGGGGTAGGCAACCTCAGAACTCCAGCTGTTGTAAAGCTACCCCATGAGGCATTGCAAGGCTCTGTCAACCACAAGCATGACTTCCAGAGGCAGAGGCATTATGGGATTTGTGGTTTCACCACAATTGGAGTGTTGAGGTTGCACTAAAAAATTAAACTTCAATTGGGCTTTAAAAGAAACATATCTGAGAGAAATACGGGAACTGCTATTGCAGATCTCCTTCCGAAAAAGCAAGTCTCTGGCTTCAATAACCACTGATCCAGGTCAGTAACTCAAAAAGTATTGAAGACAGCCAGATGACTAGCATTCCCATGAAGGCATCCCAAATATTTCTCTCAGCACAGGTCTCCTTTAAAGAAGCACTCGGGGCAAAACTTGTATTAACCTTTTGCCCTGAAATCTTCTTTAAAGTGAGAAGTTTGTTTTACAATAAGGAAGAAAAGTAGAATTGTTGGATGTGATAAATTATTGTTTATTGTATGGGGACATAAAGCTAGGAATCCACTCGATCATTACGAAGATCTCTTTGGTAGGGTTATTGATTTGTCTCCAAAAAAAAGCCTGAGATTGTAAGCAAACACTGACCTGAATCTTACACATATTGACTGTAAAATGCTTTATAATATTGCAGCTGTCTTTAAATGTGGGCAACAAGTAAATCTACCAAGTACAGTATCTACACTTCTTTTGACTATTAACTGAAATATATATTATTTATCTAGCGACATCATCTACAGTATCAGTCAGCTGCAATAACACCTATGTATATAAAAATCATGGTGTCTGTTTCATGGTGTCTGATAAAAATCATGGTGTCTAAAAAAAAAACTTTTAAGCTCAGATTTTATTACTTTTCTTTCATCTGCATTTCTTTTGAAATGTCATGTTTAGTGCCTGTGGCAGGCAAATGAATGTCTAGAGGCAGGTTCGGCCAGAACATTAAATACATTTTGCACAGGTCTAGAGTACACATAGTGAAATGGACCATTTACTCAACCTATTACCAGTATACTGCATGACAATTATAGAGAATGTGCTCATCAGTACTGAAACCAGCTATGATAAGGAACAATGTGAAGATCATTTTGAAAGTATAGGTGCAGTTTAATCGCAACCTTACTTTGGAAAAAGCTGCAGAGCAAAGGCAAACAGTGGATTTAAAGCTGTGCATAAACAGGCAGAGGAGATCATGCAGCACAGCCCTGACAGCCTGACCTGGATTAGATGGAGTTTACAGAAAAGTGCATAGAAACATACCAATAGTATTGTAACACTTTAGCGGTACTAACATTGTGATGTGTATAACATCAGTCGCCTATGTTTTTAACTATAATGTGCTTCCTATATGCTTCCTGCATTACAAGGGCATCCATGTGAAAGAACCCTTTAGAGTCATTCAAAGCAGCACTAAAATTATACTGCATAAAAATTAAATATAATAATATTGATACTGAAATTTCATTAACTCCTTTCTCCTAACCCAAAAGGAGAAATTTTAGTCACTTAAATAGCATCCCGGTCAGGACACTAACTGCATGGAGTTTGCATCTTCTCCCTGTGTTATTCTAACCTTGCGTTAGTGACAAAAGAGGATTTTTCTTCCACAGGGAAAGTAATGAAGCCTACAGCTAACCCAAATATTGGTAACACTTTGGTTAACAAGTTAACTGATCTACCATAACTGAAGAAACATTTAGAAGTATGCATGACTATGTGAATTTAAATCAATGGAATATAAATGTGTGCAGAGAAACCTACGTACTGAAAAAGGGTATCACTAGTAAAAGAAACTTTTAAGTGATGAATGCTTCCCCTCCGAATGCCATCTATTCAGCTATCGAATCTCCAGAGAGACAACGGTGCTATTAGAAGGGGCTCACAGCTTGGGTCAAAGAGTCAGAGTACATGCTTTGCAACAGAACTTTATAATATACAAAATCACTGATGCCTTGAAGTCCTAAACAGAAAAAAAGTGATCCAATGCACCTGCCTTCTAATAAATTGGGAAGGAACAGAAAACATAGCAAAAGCTTCAGATTGAACTCTGAAAAAATGTGTGAAATAAATACACTTACATGGGCAAATTATGACACTATTTAGAGAAAATCATGTTTGTTTCCTATAAAATATCTCAGGGGCTAATACGTGAAAAGTGGGAGCCCAGGAGAATTCTGTTTGGCCAGAGCTACCAGTCAGGATCTTTGTTTTATTTTCAAACCGTGGACTCTAGAATTAACAGTTAGGAGCTGACAATTTGCTATGGGCAGCACGCTGTTTTACTATTGCACACCAAGCCACCCGTGTTGTGTATTTAATGTCAGTTATAAAATATCTATGCTGATGGTTTTCAAGTAACATAACATAGAAATGTTGCTTGCGTAGAGAAGGTGGAGTTGTTTGTAGCCCTTGAGAGGAAAATATTAACAGTGGATTGTTTACTACTGGGAAATAGTAATAGTAGTAACAGTCTCTCTATCTATAATTTCAAGGAGTGAGTAATTATGCACTTGCCCAGTAGTGAAATATTTTGCATGTGACAACTAATGCAATACTAATTCTATATAAAGTCCATATGTAATCTGGTTTCTGTAGTGTATACTAGTGGCAATGTTTTCATGGTGTAAAGAATTTGAGAAACAAAAAGTATACTAAAGAATAATGAGTGTGACATAGTTAATATGTGTGCAATGAAGATGACTTCTAATGTTATCCACATACCTGGCTTGCCTTTTCATTGGCTGGAGAAGACCTTGATCTCACATGAAGGGCAGTGGGTTGTTGAGAGTTGGCATACAAATCCCGATCAGACACTGTTCTATCAGGCTTTTGCTCCGAAGAAACCATTAAAAATTCTGATGGTTTTAATGCAGTGACTTCTCTCTGTTTATGTGAAGAAGAGCTTTTACCTTCTGGCCTAGGCTTAAAATCCAAGCCTAGACGTTGCTGGATAAACGAACTTGCACGACCCCTGTTTTCCTGGTGTTCACTTTTCTTCTCTAAGTTGGCTAAATCAAACAAGCCTGTGAGTCCAGGTGGAAGAGTGGAGGAAACACGTCCAGGTTTAGAAAGTGTATCCCTTGGATCCCAACTGTGAAATGGCATATTATGCTCCTGTAGTGAATTAATGCTAGATGTAGAGGAAACACTCTGGCTGTCCATCATACTCCCTGAGAAGTAGGTGCTCTGGGATCGCACTTTTAAGAGGCCAGTTTCCAGGGGTGAAGGCCTTCGGCCTGTCTTTCGTTCTATGTAGTCTGCAAGGGCATTCTGCTGCATCTGCTTTAGCTCTGGTTTAGAAAGGTTAACAGTTGAACAAGCTTTGCCATCTCTTTCAAACATTCTGCGCCTGTCCGCTACTGTTTGTTCCAAGAAGCTGATGTTTTGCCCTTTCTTTTGGCTGCTAATAGATGATGACTCAGTGTCAGATGCGCCCACCTCATTCATCTTCTCTGGCTCTGAATATGATCGCTTTTTCTGCTCAGCTGTCAAACGTCTTCTGGCTCCAATGCGAGTTACCTGGTTTGATAAAGCTGTCCCCTCTTGACTATGAAAATCTTGGCTCTTTGCAAATGTCTCCATGGGTGTGACACTGTGTCGTTCTTTTGGCGCATGAGGGGATACAGGAGCAGACTTACCATAGAGAATAGCTGAAGAAGGCCTTTTAACACTCCTTTCTGTTTTTTTCTGTGGTGGGCTGATTTCCAAATCTTTTCTTCTGTAAGATGTTGCTTCTAAGACTTTGGACTGTGCATCTTTGATACTGTTTCTGTAAGCCCTGCTAAAACCTAAAGTGTCTTGTGCAGTGTTCTGCCAATGGTCTTCTTTATTTGGCATTGTTTGAGAATTACCTGTTGTTGTATCACTACCCAGCAAGGTTTGCAAAACACATGGCTCGTTATTAATCTCCTGGGTCTTGTCTATTTGACTTTCAGCAGCTGCTTTCTGAATGTCCCCTAATCTTGAACTGTATACACTTCCAGCTCTTTTTAACTGGTGCACGCCAGAACCTTTGTCAGTAGTATGAGAACCTGAAAGTCTTCTGTATTCAACATTCTGCGCATGTTCCTGGGAATTAAACTTATTCCTTAAGTCTTCAATGCTATTTACAGATGCTCTGTTTCCTCCTTTTGTACATTGCCCTGAATTCTGACCATAGATGCTTCCACTTGGGGCGTGGGGCTTTTGATTCTCTTGCTCTCGTTGCTCAATCTGGCTGATCTTTTGAAAAACTGATGATCTCTGTTTGCCATCTTGCTTCACAGAACTTAGACTGTTGCTGCTTTGATTGCTTACTGAATTTTGACGTCTTCTGATAAATTCAGTAGTATTGTTGTGAGGTGACGAAGGATCATCAGGCTGTAGGTGATTGGTAACATATATAACTGAGCTGTCAGCATCTTCAGTGTGTTTTGTAAAACTTGGGCTTTCTAGTTTGTTTTTGTGGTTAGAGGCATGAACAGGGTGTCTGTTTTCATGTTTATCATTATGGTTTGTGTCAGCTTTGTACTGGATACCCGAGTTCTTATATTTATTTGTATCTGGAGTGGATACATCAGAACTGGTATTGCAGGAGCTTCCCCGATTTTGCAATGCAGGCCCAGTGTGACTTTTAATCCGTTCACTGGTGCTGAACACCTGCATATCCCAGTTATCTTGTTGCCCACTTCTCACCTGATTTGTTATTGCATCGGTTTTAGACTCTGGTTTTGGTAGGTGATCATTTGTATTGAAGGACGGATTTATGTTTGTAAGAGTTCTTTCGTCTTCACTGTTTAATGTTGAACCAACTGGAAAATCAGGGCCACCAGAGAAATGAAGCTTATAATGGGTGTATTGTGCAGGCCCACCTTCTCTTGTTTCTTCAGCTTTAGTGGATTGGTTTACTAAGCTTGGCACAGTAGGAATGCTTTGAATATTCTGGCTACCTTTTACATTTGTTTCCAACTGTGAGCAAGAGCCTGCTTTGGTCCCAGGATCAGCAAATGAAGTACTATGAGCTCCTTCTTTGGCTAATGCTGGATAAAGCCTTCCATTATTATTGTTGGGAGGTTGAGGAGCATGAGCAAAGTGTGGCTCTGGAGATGGCACTTGATAGATCCCTGTAGGAAGCATAGGTTGTCCAGGCTGTGGGAGATGTGAATAAACATGCTTAGGTTTCATTAAAGGGCTACATTCTGGACTTCTCTCTGGCACAGTATGCAGCTGTCCTTCGCCAAATGCTGCTTTTAGCTGTTGATTTGAATTGCAAGTAGCAATGGCAGAATGTGTTCCGGGTCCTTTGGAACTTGTCCGTAAATGCCTGTTCTGATCCAAACTCGACCAAGAACTTGGCCGCTCATGATGTCTTGCTACTGCATAACTGTCACTCCGTGTAGGTGGCATGGGAGGACTTTTTACAACTATATCACTCTCAGAGAGAATTCTGTTCTGTTCAAATCTCCCCACAGGGCCACTGTTCTTAAGGTGAAGGCTGGAAAGCCTACCTCGGCTTTTGACCATTGATGAGTTCACTTCATACTCTTCTGAAACACCACGTTGTGCATCATACACTGTCTTGATATATCTAATGTCCGCATGCTTAATACCCTCTTGTAAATTCCCCCGAGATAACATGCTTTCCATAGAGTAGGACTTCTCCTTGCAGAATGTGGTGGGGTGGTATTCTGGTATGCTGGAGTTCGTGGAGAAAGAGCTGTAAGCAGAGTCTCTTTTGCTATGCAAATGAGCAAGTTGATCTATGCAGTTAGTGGATTTTGCAGGTGAAAGATGACATGGATGGTATGTTGATGAAGTGTGGTCCAGGCTTTCCATGCTCCCCCGTGAGCTGTACTGGTCAGGGCTCCGTCTTAAGTACCCATGCTCGTAACTGGAGAGATCACTTGCAGAAGAACTAAAAGAAAAAAGAAACAGGGAAAGATCTTACTGCTTGCAAGAAACGTTCAGTCGAGCTTATAAATAAACTTGCAGATGAAATGTTTAGGTTATGGGAGGAACGGAAGAGAAACCATATTTGGGGCCTATCTCTGTTCTTTGCCAGCTGTCATTCCAGCATATTATAAGTAATTGCTTGTGGCTGTGTTCATTCTATTAATCCCACAGCAGTGTAGAAACGACATAGATAACATAAGAGATTGTCAGAACCTTTTCAGATTTAATAAACAACCGGTTTATTGACACTATGCAAACTGATCACAGATATACACACTAAAAAACTAGAACAGGAGAATGTGAACACAAAAAAAAACGTAAAGACTACAGTGTATGCGTGTGTGTGTTTTATTTCTTTTCTTTTTATGGAGTTGAAAGTTTTCCCTGGCAGGCTTCCTGGAAACTAGCAGCATTAGAGACACTTTGTTTGCTACAAGAAATCTAAACAGACAAGACAGAGAATTGTACAAGGGAAAAAACTCTTAGGATTCTAAAGATGAATGTTAAAATGCCACGTGTGGTTCAAACGTGTTATGACATCCTCCAAACAACTTGGTGTGCTAACACATCTAACATTTTACTAGTTTCTCTATTATTGGGTATTGTTGCTTAAACATGAATCATGAAATATCATTCTTTTACAACTTCCTTTTTTGTCATAGTTCAAAATACATGAATCAGCTGCCCAAAATATGATTGTAGTTTTTCATGTTTGTTGGACAATATTTTCTTTCTATTCAATTAATCAACTGCATGAAATGTTTGCTACTAATACTCCTTGATGCCCATTTTGTTTGGGAAACAAATCATGTAAGTAGTGCATATATACAATGTTAACCTTCCACAATTTATAACTTCAACATTTTTTTCTCACCCATATATGGGAAAGTATCAGGTTCTCGATACCAAATAGGGCATGAGGTACATGTCCCTACCTTTCTCTGTCTCCCTTACCACTTTTATTCACTACTGGCCTGCCCAAGAGTCTAGACAGCAAACCCCAAAACATATTTTTATTTTTGCACACATTTCCCCAATGACTTTGGCTCCACATATCAGTGATTTGGCATAACAAATGCCCACTCAGACACAAAGCATTGTGAGGGCACAAGAGGGGTGTCACATGTTACCCCTAGCTGCCCTGTGCTTTGATCCGCCACAGGCCTGTCATACTGTACTCTGAACAAAACCAAAACTTCTATAGGGGCTGTGCACACTACCCTTGTCAGCTCTAGATGTCAGCATCTGGGTCAGTAGTAGAACACAGCAACAAGAAAAGCAGCAGATTGTAAAATGTATGCCCCATGCATTAATGTGAACCTGTTACTTTACAAGGAAATGACTGGGCTAGAGGGCATTTACCCCTCGGTCCAGTACAAAAAATATATGTTGGTCTGGTGGCTCTGAGTGGAGTTCCTCCCCGTTCAGGCCTCAATCAGGGCAGGCTCCGCAGTCAGTGACAGCTCCTGGGCATTACATGGCTACCTGCTCACTGGTCAGACCTGTGATCACAGCACGTGGCAAAGGAAAGTCCAGCATCAACTTCCTTTGCTTCTTTGAGATGCAATGCAATCAAATACAGAGATTTGTAAAAAAAGACAATGCTTTACAAATGCAAAGCTGTGACATGTGTTTGCATTTGTTTAGGAAGCTAGCTGTTTATTTATGATGATGACATGGTATTTTATTTAGTATATTATTTAGCTGAGTCCAAATCATTTTCACAGAGATGCAGTCATTCAGTTCGGCTCATAAAATACTTCCTACCTTACCATCCATTTCTTACAATCCAATACATACATATGTGAATAGTTATGATACAATATAAACCATGTTCTTTCAGACAATACCCACCTTTTACCATAGCTACCTATCACTGTGGTATAAGGTAGTACACTCTCTTTAAAGGAGAACCATGGGGTTAAGGCTTTTCCCCATAGTTCTCCTTAGGGTAACGGGAGGACACAAACTCCTCCCGTCACCCTAGGCTCAGTATACGTACACTGAGACGCTGCAGTATACCGCAAGCTGCTGACAGGATCGAGAGGTGAGCAAAAGCCGGTATGTGTTCGCTCACCTCCCAATCTACTGAGCCGACCTGTGACAGTCTCATTGTCACAGGTCGGCTAGAACTATGAGGTGAGTGAAAAGCACACACCTCATAGTTCTCCTTTAACCTACAGAAAACTATTAGTACCATGAAAGGGCCAGCTTGATGTGTTTGCCTCCGAGGCTAAAAGTTCTTAGTCCACCCCTGTGCATAGCCCAGTATGGGGAAATTTAGGGTTCACTTTAAAATAGTAGACACTTTAGTATTTCCACATTTACATTTCAAGAGGGACTACTCTTGACTGGTAGAAAGAATGCTGTTCTTTAATCTAATGTATGAATTTATTACTAAAAGCGTACAGTAAATCAGCCACTACTGCTTTTCCATTACTCAGGGTTGGCAAATGCCCAGCAACCTGCTGGACTGCAGGGGAAATAATTAATGAGCTAATTTGTTAAGAGGATATATGACTGTGATGCTACCATTATTAACTGAGCTGAAATCTGGATGTGCAAAGAGTAGAACTATTAAAATATTTTCATATCAGTAATAATGACTTGTTTTCAGATTTGTTTTTAAAGCTATGTGAGATATGAGTAATTTGTCCAACGCTAACTCATTTCACACAAAAAAAATGTTTTCTTTTCAGCTGTCTGGAATTTTTCAAATCCTTCTCAGGAATAGATAACCAAATGCATTTAAATCACTGGGTCTGGTTGGAAATTATACATATATAGGCTTTTGGTATAATAAGGGTAACATTGTAAACAATCTTACTGGGGTTTTTCTTAACATTGACTTGAAATGGCAGTTTGAATAGTTACATAGTTACATAGTATTTGAGGTTGAAGAAAGACACAGGTCCATCAAGTCCAACCTATAGCGTGTATGAATGTGAATGTACATGTGTATGAGTGTGGAAGAGTCCAATAGTAAGTTGGTTTAGTTGAGTTTGAATATTTGATTAGTTACTAGGAACAACACTTTATATTAGCTTTCTAAATCTTACAATTAGGACCCATTCACAGCTTCTATGATGTGGTAACGCATGGGCCACAACACGCTTTATTGTATGTTTTGGCACACTGCATTAGCACTGCCAGTTCTTTTTTCAATGGTCCCCATTTTTTATTGCATTGCACAGCAGATGTGTTCTATAGATGTTTTGGGGTGTCATTTAAAAGAATTGGCACTGCAACACATTGCACTATGTTTAGTGTTTTACCATGTGTTGATGAAAAGCACTTGTTTTGCAGCCCTTTACCACAATATGATGGTGTGAACAGTCCCTTAAAATGGAACTGAAATCACAAGAAAAAAAATATTGGTCGATTGAGTTTTTTGTTGTTGTAGAAATCCATTACCTTTCATCTAGTTTTTTTTTGTGCATGTGGGTGCGTATGCTGCCTGCAGTGCATACACAGTAAAATATACACAAATGGTACACTCTCGGCATCTGTAAGTGCTGGGATAATGGAACTCTAGCACACATGCCTGGGAGTTGCATCATCACTGGCTTTTTACAGACTCTAGTCTGGAAACATAGACCTAGAGACACATACAAGGACATATGTTACTTGTTTGTTCTTTTTTTTCATCTAAACATTGCAGTAGAGCCCAAGTCCTCGAGTGCTTGCTGCATTATCAGGGGAAGCAGCAACATGGGAAGGCAGAGAAGGCGTGCTACATATGCCCTGTGTACTGATTTTTATTTGGGTGTACATAGCATGCCTGAGGTCTACAACTTAAAGAAGCATTGTAGGTAAAACTAATATTTTAGTAATTAGCATTTTACCAACAAATTTTTAATCTAAGACAAATAGAAAGAAACGTCTCCCACAAGTTAAAGGAGAACTATGAGGTGAGTGATTTCCACTCACCTCATAGTTCTAGCCGACCTGTGACAATGAGACTGTCACAGGTCGGCTCAGTAGATCGGGAGGTGAGCAAACACATACCAGGTTCGCTCACCTCTCGATCCTGTCACGGCTCTCTGCCGTGACAGGGGGAGAGGCTGGATTCCCCTCTCCCCGCTCCGATCTGCCAGCGCTGTCTGGCGGAACGGATGGGGGAGGGGGCGGGTACAGCTGGCTCTGCCTCTAGATAGGCAGAGCCAGCTGTCACTCACGCAGCTGGGAGGATCTCGACATCGATGTCGGGATCCGCTCCGGCTGTGGCGTCTCATTATACCGCGAGCTGTAGCTCGCGGTATACTGAGCTTAGGGTAACGGGAGGACGCTAGTTTGTGTCCTCCCGTTACCCTAAGGAGAACTATGGGGAAAAGCTCTGACCCCATAGTTCTCCTTTAAATATTTTTGCAATTTGGAAGAAAGGAAGGGTGGCACATACAAAAATTTGGACTTCTTGTTGGTTCTTAATTACACCCCCCCCTTTTGACGCTTTCAAACCTTTATTGTAGACAACCAACAGCCTTTCTATTGCTTTATGCCATATTTTCACTACTCTGCTGTTTAAAAACATTATTTTTCCATTTGGCATGGAATACATTTCTGTCAGGTACCCACAAATTGTCAGTAAATAATAGTTAAAGTCAATCTGTACCGAATTTTATGAAAGAAAACTCACATTATTATTCTTATTATACAGGATTTATATAGCGACAACCAGGGGCATAACTAGAAATCACAGGGCCCCATAGCAAAATCTTGCATGGGGCCCTGTGATTTCTAGATAAGTCCACCTGATAACCCAAACAGCCCACCTGAGGGTGACCCTCTCTATGGTGGGCGGTCAAGCCCTCTTACCTGTCTGGCTGATCCTCTGTCCGCCTCCTTCTCCACGATCGCTTGCGGGCCCCGCCTCCTCCATCACTGGGCCCCAGCTCCTTGATCGCCGGGCCTGCCTCTCCATCGCTAAGACCTGCCTCCTCCATCGCTGCCGACGATGGGCCC